TGACGCCATGACTGGAGGTTGAGAAAGAATTCCTGATTGTAATTGTCGCTCATGTTGAATTATCATCGAAAAAATTTTGGGTAAAGAAGGCAAGGGATCCATGAGAAGGATCTGAGAGCGAACAACAGAGTAATTATCATTCAAGCCTCTAAGAAAACAAAGAACACAATCATTTTCACGATATTCCTTCATTGTCTTAGAAACAACACAACAAGAAGCAGAAGATTGGCATTCAGGAATAGGGCGAAAATTGCAAAGTTCATCCCAGAGAATCTTCATTTTAGTGTAATATGCAGTAACACTTAGATCAGACTGATGCATTGAATAAAGATCTTGATGCAATTGTGAAATTCGAACAGAATCACCTTGGGAGAAACAATCTTTGAGATCCTTCCATGCCGCAACGGCAGAGTCAATCCAGATAATACTTGTAGCAATCTCAGAAGCAGAATGATTGATCTAAGATAAAACTAGATTATTGCAACGCTTCCATGCTGGAACCATGGGACCTGTATCAGTTGGACAAGGAATGGAACCATCAACAAAACCAAATTTATTCTTCATTTGTAGTGCCATAGACATCGAGCGAGCTCATCCATGATAATTGTGACCTTCAAGAATTGGGGAAACAAGTACCAATGAAGGATTCTCGTTAGAGTGAATGTAATAGTCATGTGTTGTATCTTGCAACGATCCGAGAGTAGCAGAGGGAGTAGCCATAGAAGGAGAAGAAAAGGCAGAAAAGCCAAGAACAAAAGGTAACGTGATAAAGAATTAATTTTCTTCTGATACCATGTTAGAAGGTGGGTTTTAAGCCTAACTCAAACCGGCTTGTAAGGTGAGGTTTGCACTTCACATATATATTATATTTTGACCTTATCTCTAGTCAATGTGAGACTTCCAACATATTCACCTTAGTGTTAGAGTTTCTTATACAAGACATCTATTCATTATTGACAATTGAAATTCATCCTCAACAAATATGTAAATTTTTGAAAAAGAAAAAATTCTTTCAACACCTAACATAAGTATTCTTTATCTTTCAAAATCCAGCTATAGTTAGAAAGAAAGAATGAAGGAAAAGGCCTAATATTTATTGATTATCCATATTCGGAAATAGAAAGCAATTTCAATATCACCACTATTTTTTTATCTCACCTGCCAATGCACTCTAATTTAATCTGAATCTTATCATATCGTTAAGTGCAAGGAGAATGGTAAATACTATTGCAAATTAAGTGTGAATTTGAGTTTATGTTAAATAATAATAAAATAGTCGATAAAAAAATATCTCATTATTTTAATATTTTAAATTAAAGATGAAATTATATAATCATTAACTTGACTCATGGCTCATTAATAATATGAATTTTGGGAATGCATCTTTTTTCAAAGACTTAACATAAACAAAAGAGTCCTCTAGGCATCTTTTTAGTGAAAAAGAAAAACTTATGTTTGATCTCATTGGATAGATCCATAAGTAATAAAATATGAGTCCGGTTATATATAAGAAATTAAGACCACCTTTTATGCAAAATCTTAAAATAATGACTTTATATACTTTTTATCTTTATATTATTATACTTAACTTTTCTATTTTTATTTAATATATAATTTAAACTCATTTTAAAATTCTAAAATGCCTAAAAGCAACCTAGGATAAAACTGAATGAATCTATTATCCAACCTTATCATGATCGAAAATAATAGTCTTAGGAAACAAAAGTATGAGCTGGAAAAAGAATAGCATAGGGCATAAACAATACACAGAAGACGATAATACTCCTATAGACTACTTTGAGTCTAGTCTTGCCTTTTTCTTTATCTAAGTCCCAAAATTTAATATCTGAATTAATGCAGTCACCAAATCTAGTTGTGACCTAAACTAGATTACTACTAAAATTGGATTATAGGTTTCGCCTGACTTAGTAATTACGACTAACTTTTATGCTACATCCAAACCATTCAATAAAGTAGTTTCTAACAATTAATTCAACACTAATGCTACATTAAGAGAGTAAACTTAAACTTTTTTAAAACAATCATCTAAATCACAGTATTTGTATACTTCATTAAAATAATTAATATATGTGTATGCATAGAAGAACTCTTTTGTATGCATTTATTGTATTAAACATATATATTGTGTTTAAAGGTTTGAATCATCCACACCTGTTTATTTTACTTCCATTTGTCTAAATTTGTCTTTCCCATTTGATCAAGTTAATTTAAGATGTAGAAACATGTAAAGTCACTATAACATTTAAGTTAATCAACAATACCTAATAGACAATAAATATTTAATAATTATATTAAATCTCATACATTGTGACGGGTGAATAGTACATATTTATAGTATCTGTATAGATTTTTTCCCTTCATGAACCTAAATTTCGTAAGTGTATCCTAGGATTTTCTATTTAGTAATTAGTTATATTAATTCGTTATTTTGATTTATGGAATCGAGATTAATTTTTTTTCAAGAGTTATTTTCAAACTCTAAGTTTGTTATTTTCAAACTCTAATAGTTTATATCACAGTTTGAACTATAATCTTCTTTATGTCATTCGGTCTAGTCAGTATCACTTTCGGAAAACACTTTAATGTTAAAGTCTGTCTTTATCAAAATATCTTAACAATAAATTCATAATAAAAAATAATCAACTACTTGAAAACACTTTAATGTCATTCAGTCTAATCATGTGTCACTTCCGGAAAACACTTTAATGCTAAAGTTCGTCTTAATCTAAATGTCTTAACAATAAATGCGTAATAAAAAGTAACCAACTACTTGAAAACACTTGGGCTTAAGAGTGGATTTGAGAGGATTTGAAGATAATTTTTTTTGTCGTTTTTTTGAGCAAATTTGGAGGTAAATGAGAGTGAATTTGAAAATAATTTTTTTTAATTTGTCACGTCAATACAATTCTATACTAATTTTCACAAATTTTATTTTCAATATCACTCTTATTTACCTCCAAATTCGCTCAAAAAAACGACAAAAAAAATTATCTTCAAATCCCCTCAAATCCACTCAAAAGAACATTAATGTCATTCGGTCTAGTCAGGTGTCACTTCTGGAAAACACTTTAATGTTAAAGTTCGTCTTTGTCTAAATATCATAGCAACAAATGCGTAATAAAAAGTAACCAACTACCTCAATATCATACATTTATTTATAAACTTTTGTGATGAGTTTCTGATTAGTGCTAGTCCAATTACTGCTCATACACTAATGACTTGAATTAAGATTAACCTAAATATTATTGATAATTAATCTTGTTTATGGCTTTTAACCATTTGGTTTGTTGGTTCGTTAATCGCTCTGTCCGTGATAGTATGATCAAATCATTTTATGATGTTCTATGATGCTTTTAGAGAGATAATCATGTACTCTATCTCCTGATAAACAAATAAAAGATAATATAGCAAACTTTTTTTCATGAATCAAGATAGTACATATCTTATTATTACCTTTGAAAATCTTGAATCTCTTTATTGTCACCTTTGCATTCAGTGTCACCAGTAATAAATTTCACTTATATGAAAATGATATTAAGAAACTATCAATCACTACTCTTTTTAGGAACTAGCTAGTTTAGATATCCACTCAATGACATGTTAACAAAAATTCATGACTATATTTTTCCAATCATATAGCACAACTTTAGCCCTATATTCCATTAATGGTTATCAATAAAATTAACTAGATTAGAGATGTCCAAAAAAATCCACACATATAAATATTTTTTATTCACAGTAAATAAAAATAATAATGTATTTAATGAAAATTCACTAGTAATTACTTGGTCTCTTCATTAATTCTTATCCATAGTATTTACTTGGTCTTATGGGCCTTCTGTCTTCATTTTAGCCCACACTCCTTTTATGATATATTTTAAAATTTATTCTTATTTAAAATTTAAACATTTATATTATTTTAGTTTTTTTATACTTAAAATAACACTATTTCTATTCTGTCGTCCTAGGACGAGATGAATGTTAATAAAATTGATATGTAACCGATCATGTATAGTACAATTTCTAAATATTTATCTTATCAAAAAAAAAAATCACCTCAGTTAATACCTCTTTAAGGTTTATCTAAGGTAATTATAATATATCAAATTTATTACAATACAAAAATCATGGACTGCTATTTTTTTAATTCACGTGAAAGTCAAAAGTTTTACGATAAAAAAAAATGATAGGTTGAAAAAATACAAACGTATAGTGTCAATCATATTTAGTTATTTTTTATGTCTAACAACAATAGGTGTGAATAAAAAAACAAAATTAAAAATATTAATACATTTATAATGATTTTTAATGTATCTATATATAGTGATTATAATGTTTTTAATAAAAGTAATCCAGTTATCAATTCTTTCACTACAGTGCAACTATTCCTGAATTATTGTTAGTAATACTTATTTTTACATTGTACCAAGCATTTTGGTTTAAGCATTCCACAATACAGATTTTTTTTTTAATAATGACTAGTTTTTAATATATAAATTTTATTAAATAAATAAATTTAAATCAATAAATTAGATTTTAGATTTATAACTAATATTTTAAATTGTGAAATATTGACAGTTTTTTAAAAAAAAATATTGAAATTGTATTAAAATTAAAGATAAAATATTGGTGATTGAAAATAGAAAACAGTAAAAAATATTCAGTTCTCATGGTCCTAGCAATTGTGAGTTAACCCAGAAAAAACACAATGAAGTAGCATGTTGGCTTTATCATCTCTGATGAACAAAAGTAGCATTTATCGAGGTGCGATCATAAGTTGGTGCAAAATTTGTTGTTTTTCTTTTTTTTTTTTGTTGTGAAGTTAATCATATTAGAGTTTTGCCATTGAAGAATGTAGTATAGACTGATAAGATCAAAAGCATGCAATGAATACAAGTTTTGAATACCCAAATAAAATGACATTGACAATGACAGTGAAGTAATAGGAAGAAGAAGAAGAAAAAGAAAGAAATAAAGCATAGTAATATTAACGGTAGAAAGTTAAATTGGAAACCATTAATGAACTCGTTGTGGTGTTGGATAGAGGAGAATGAACACATACCCAACACGCATATACATAAAAAAATTGTATCTATCTATCTATCTACGATCCCCAGGAAATGGGCCTATACATGATGTTGTTACAGAAGGAAAAAGAAAATCTAAATAGTTAAAAATGGAATTTTTTGTTACAGTGGGATTATAATGGAGTCGGTGCATTGGAAAGACAAGAAGGACACCTGAGAAGACCATTTTCGTTGCAGAGGTGACAGGTTTTGAAGCCAAGTTTGTTATCGACAAAGAGTCTTCTGCTACCGTTGCACTTGTCGCAGAGAATGAACCTGTGAGCGGCACACGTGGTGCACTCGGTGGGATCCGCTGCGGGCAGGTCTTGGAGAAGCTTCTTCAGTTCGCCGATCTCGTTGAGGTATCTCAAGTCTTCGATCCCACCAATGTACTTGCCGGCGATGAAAATACGTGGCAAGTCCAACTCGGCCCGTCGGAGGCCCATGAGGTGGTTTAGTTCGTTGGCGAAGCCGGAGTCGACTGAGACGTCACGGTTGTCGATTAGAACGCGGAAGCCGCAGAGAATGGAGAAGACGTTCTTGCAGGCATCGAAGGTGGATCTGACGGCGTGGAGGGTGGTGTAGTAGACCACCACGCGGTCTTCGGTTCCGGGGAAATAAATGGGACGTTGGTTTTCGGGTTGTGAGACATCGGGTACGGGTGGGGCGGGGTGGGAGTGGGTTCGGTGGTGGAGTTTGGAGGGTTGTGAGTGGTGATGAGTTGACCAGGTTCGAAGGAACGAGTTGGCGAGTCGAACTCGGTGGAAAACGGAGGGTTTTCTTGAGCGAGAAGGAGAAGGAGAGGGTTTGTCTTGGTGGTGTTGGTTTTGGCGTTGTTGGGATTCGTCGAGACAAAGGGTTTGGATGTCTTTAAAGGAAGAGCAAGAGAAGGGGGAAGAGGGTGTTGTTTGAACCGTTGATTTTCCCCATGATCGCCACATTGAAGGTGGGAAGCTTCAATCTTTTTTTTTCTTTTTCTTTTCTTTTGGTTGTTCAATTGTCTTGACTTGGATTTTGGGGATTTGGATTTGGAAAAAGAAGAGATTTTTGGGAGTGATGGTTGTTGCGGTGAAAGTATGGGAAATTGGTAAAGGTTGGATTTTTTTGGTTTTGGGAATGAAGAAAAATGGGGTTTGTTTCTATTTTTGAGGTTGGGGGTGATGAATTGGTGGATAAAGAGATGGGTGTGATTTTGGTTGCTTAAAATTTAGGTTTTGGTGGTGGTGAATTTGCATGTTTGCAAAGTTTGGGGAGGTCCTCAGCTTTTTTTTTTTTTTTTTTTACAAGAGAAAGGAGGGAGAAAGAAAGAACAAAAATGGAAATTGAAGAAAGAGAAATTAGGGTTGAGAGGTAGAGTTATATGTGGTTAAATAATTAGGGTTTGGTTGGTTTTGTTTTGTGATTGGCTTTCATTGGATTTCATAGAGACAAAGAAGTAGTAAGAGGTCCTTGTTTTCATGTTTAGACAAAATAAATTATCCATACTTGTGATATTTAAGATTTTTGGTATTCTAATTATAACAAATGGAATTTATATTTAAATTTCTTTTTTATATTTATTATCCTTTTGTGTTAATTGGATGTCTTGTATTTATTGCTTTTCGTTTTATGAAAAATTTACTCAAAGATATAATAGAATATATGATACTTTTAATATTATAAAATGTTTACCCTAGATTGAGCAAAATAATTTTATTTCATTCTATCCTATTTTAAATAATCTATAAAAAAAAGTCATAATAAAATGATTGAGAAATGAAAAGGAATAGAATGTTTTACAAAAAAAAAAAATCCTAATGGTCTCTTATATTTTAATAATTTAGTTTATTTTATTAAATAAAAAATAAAATACTTTAGAATTTCTAAAAAGTTTAAAACTTTTATCAACGAAAAAAACAATTGAAGAAAAAAAACTGTAATTTATACTAATTCAATAAGTTTTTATAAATATATTGAAACTGAATAAAAATATGTAATTTTATATTTTATATATATATATATATATATATATATATATTTATATATATATATATATATATAGAGTTTGCTAACTTGAACGAACGCTCTTGTTTTTTTCAGTTAGTATATTTTAGTAATGTATATCAGGTTTTAGTTCACAAAAATATTCTTATATATCATGGATTCTAAGTTGTAAGATCAAGGGTATTTTGAATAATTTTCATTCTCAACTAAAAGAAATAAGAAACTCTCAAACTTTTACTCACCTCCCTCGTTTCTCCAAGCTTTTCTTTGTCATCCTTATGGTAGCCCCAACTGAAAAAAAAATCAGAAACACACGTTGTTAAACAATTTCTTACAAAAAATGATTTTATAATAAGTTTTCATTTTATAATTTTTGTCTTATCTAATTTTATATAATTTTCACAAGCATAATGATATATGAAGATGTTGAATCAAGATCTTGTTCATTCAAGATCTCTTCAATTTCATCATCTTCTCTTATCTCTAAAAAAACCCTTCAGGCCAATTACTAATTCTATGCTTGTAAAAATTAGATAAAATTAGAAAAGACAAAAATTATAAAATAAAAACTCGTTATAAAATATTTTTTTGTAAGAAATTATTTAACAGCGAGTGTTTTTTATTTTTTTTCCAAGCTAAATACCAATTCCTTTAATATTATTATGCTTGTGAAAATTAGATAAAATCAAATAAGACAAAAATTATAAAATAAAAACTCATTATAAAATCATTTTTTATAAGAAATTGTTTAGTATTTCTGATTTTTTCTAGACCAATTATTAATTCTTTCATATGTCATTATGCTTGTAAAAATTAGATAAAATTAGATAAGACAAAAATTATAAAATAAAAACTCATTATAAAATTATTTTTTAATTTTGAGAATGAAAATTATTAAAATACCCTTGACCAACTTAAAATCCATAATATATAAAGATATTTTTGTCTACTAAAACACGATACACACAAGTTAACAAACCCATATATACTAAAACACGATATATATATATCCGTTCTTAATATCATAGAAATTTTGATGCTATAAATTTATCTCAAATCTATTATTTTTAAATTATTGATTTCGTATCCAAACACACTCTTATAATTATTCATAAATTTTATTATAAATTCATTAATACCGGACCTTACTTCGATGTCAACACAAAAAAACAACATAATTCATATTTATATCTTTACCAAGTTCTTCAGTTTAAAGATGACCGATCGTGCACGTGGTTTTTTAATAATAAATCATCTATGTGAATTAGGCTAAAAGAATCAAAAACATAAATATAAGTATTTTTCTTATTTAACTGAAAACCTTGACGATGAAGTAATAAAAATATCCGCATACATTAATCTTATAACAAATTCACAAAAAAAATATTATTCTATTTTAAATAGATTTCATTATATTAAATAAATTTTTAAACAATTTACTGTATTCTACCGTATTTTTAAAACCTTGCTAGAATCGACACTTCAGAAAAGTTACACTTCAGCTTTACAACTTAAAAATTTAGTTGAATTAGAATTCAATAAATAATATTTTTTTATTATTGAGCATTAAGATCTACTCAATTCAAAATTTTAATAAAAATCATTAGAGTAAGTGCTCTAAAATACGTGTTATAAGTTTTACCTCGCAAAATTCCTCTTGTTCAGAGTGAAGACTCTTCCCAAATAAATTAACGTCGACTCCATGAATGGAGGATGAAAAAATTAAAAATTGTGCAAAACAACTGCATGCCCTGATATCATTTTTGTCATTCAAAGAATGACAATATTAGTTAACCAAAGCCATGTAATTAGTCAATATTTTCTTTAATGAGACTATCTATCAGAACACCCAAAAACACGGCCACTTTGATGATCAAGTATTCAAAGGCAGCGAAGGATGGTTGAATTGAGAAATGAAGGCATTAGATCTAAGAAATTAGAGGATCCAAAAGTGGACGGAAATATGATCAATCTCAACGTTAAATCCAAGTTTTGAACTACCTTTGAGTGACCAGATCAATCGAGAGAAGTCTCGATTCACGTTTCTTGTCGAACTTGCAACTTTCCAGATTACATTCCGATCGACACTTTTCCCCTTATTCAACTTTAATCATCCCGGCCTACTATTCAAGCACTTACTATCTCTAGCCGAACAAATCGCGTAACACGCTTCTTCAAATTTTAGAAACGTGTTGGACAATACTATAAACTACATTAGGCTAAAAGTTTTTCAAGCGACCTCAAGAATCATCATAATTAAGTAAATTTTCCACAATGACGCTGTCGCCAAGGACCTTTTATATTCAGAAATTACATCATTTCATCGTCGCAAGAACGAGATAACATACAAAGAACTAAAGTTACTTTTCAATTCATATAAATATATGGTCGACAGTGTCGCCATGTGTATACCCATTATGAATATGGAACCGAAAGTCAAGCATATTCTGTTTCTAACTAAAGATAAGTCTCGGACACACCTGATATGTCGAAAAGAACCTAACGGAAATAGATGGATATTTGGGGGATGTCAATGTCATTGTCTTCATCATCCTCACAGGCAACCACAACATCCAAGTGACGCCGGTATGAAGGTATGTCCACCTTGGCCACCTCCCTAGCCAAATCCACTATCTTTCTGTCCATTCGCTCTTTATGCTTAGGGAACATGCTGTTATAGAGCAGACAACTTCCACATGAAATACTGTAAGCATTCAAACCTTTCGCCTTCAGCCAATCAAGAAGCTCCCTTAGAGTAGGATTGTCTTTTACGATCCATCTGTCCCAAACTGTCCAACTCATATCTTGATGCTTGATGACCTTGGGTGGAACTGGCTCTGCAATGGAAAAGAGAGGCAATGCTAAGTTGGCAAACGTGTTTCGGTAGTCCTCCACTTTGTGCCCTCCATCCAAAGCTTTGAACAGCTCCAGGCATACAAGCCCCGTGGCCATGGCAGTTGATGTTGCAATTGCTGGAATGATCCGCCCGGCAATAAACTTGGCCTTGAGTTTGTCAACTTCAGGAATGCTGTAGTTCCGTGCCCTCATGTTAGCAAGTCCAGCTATCAGGTCCATATGGTAGATTGTATCATCATCCTGTAATTTTCCAGCACAAAGGTCATTTTTAACTTTGGATGAAAGTAGATTATAATAAATAAATGAAATGCAGGTGAAAGAATTCGCCTCCCAGCAAATACAAAACCTCACCAAACTAAAATCCCCAATTCAAAACCACCAAAATGCAATGTGACAAAAGAGAAGGCTTTATCCATCATCACTGAAAATTCAGAAAGGGCAAAAACTCAATGAAAGGAAAATAGACCTTCTCAAATTGAACTGGTTTCATCCTGAAATCTGGTTGCAGCTTTTTCCGGCACACCTCTAACTTGGCGATTAGATCATTAATCACAGCTGCATCATCTATAGAAGCAGAAGAGAGACTGGTTGCCTTCTCATCTGTCACTATTTTTGCATCTTTCTTGGGCTTAAAGTCAGGTACAATCACTGAATCAACGGCTTCAGCCAACTTCTTAGGATTCTTACCCCAATCAGGGATTGGAATACCGAATGTTTCTGCACGTAATATGGCACCTGCCATCAAAAACTGCAGATGACCCGGATCAGATGATGAGAATTCCAGTGGACGAGGGAATCGTTTTGGTGCAGACCAGAAAGGAGCTCCAGTACTAGTTGCAGCATCTTCAGGAAAAGTATAAATTAATTGCTTTACCCGGTTAGCAAAATAATCTTCAAACCTGTGAATAAAAAACCATGTATGAGTGTAGTCCGCACAAAAAACTCTAGTAAGCTCTGACGATATCACAAGAGAACGCAAGCATATATTATCAAACAAACATACCTTAACCTAGCCCATGAAATACAATCTTCAAAAGTCAGACATTTGTCCTCATCCAAACACTCAAGAACACGCTCCAAGTTATCCCTTGCTTGAGCATCACCGGCATTCCTCATTGCGTTAGTATATTCGGTTGGATTAGATAAATATGCATTTACTTCAGCTGGAGTTTTCTCAAGCAAACCCTCAAACTCTGACCGAGCCCAAGTCAAGCAGTGGTCAATGTTGTGTGGAAAGGAGTGAACAGTACACATAGGTGCCTGTTTCTCAGGTGGATCTCTTGATGCACCATAATTTTCTGTTAGGTGGGGAATGACCATTTGGGTATTGCATTTGGCTCCAAGTGTTCCAGATTCAAGAAGTGGCTTCTGGAAATATAAGCACCTCTGATCAACATACAGTCTTGCATTCACATTGTCTAATGCATTAATCACAACACTCAAATTTTCCCAGAAGGTGTCATGAAACACATTTTCAGTTTCAGGGCTAACACGGTTTTGCAGTGCTTCAATATTCAGACGAGGATTTATAGAAGCAGCAGCTGAAGAAGCAACTGTCGACTTCGCCTGGCCAATATTCCA